TACAGCAACACATTTTTTTTTGTTAGTTCGCCTCACCTCCCCCCCACTCTCGAAGAGTGCCATGACCTCCTCGACGGTCGCCATGGTGGGGGGCCCCTTGGAGAGGGAGTATTCCATCAGGTTTTCCTGGGTCCCTTTTCCCAGGCAAACGCGGACGCGGCGGATGGGAAGAAAAGAGGGCCCCGGGCGCTGACACAAGAGAGCGGTAACAAGGGGAACCAAACGCACCAAAGGGTGGCACGAATGGAGGGGGGGGGGGGTACTCGTGTAAATGTATGCCGTAATGATCACGCGCCCTCGAGGACGGAGGATTGTTCCCATAGCAACGTTGGCCAATCGTTCCTTCCTACTTTACCAACGGTGGCTCAGAGAAGAAGGGGGGGGGGTGTACTCATAGTCGTGCATGCCTTCGTCGCTAGACCATTGACTTCGCATCCCTACAAAGCCGGGACGGAGCGATATGCCCGGTTTTCGACGGCCCAGGCTATCATATCACCAAGGATAAACCAGAGGGGGGGCGTGAACGGACGATCAACACAACGGACGAGAAAGAGAGGGTGATATCCGAGACAACACGAATCAGAAAGAGGTCCCTGATATCTGAGAAAGATGTTTGATACCCCACACCAGCATGACGCAACAGGCACCCCTCCCCAGCTTTTCATTGGGTGGATTGCGGTGGAATGCGATCTATATATGCATGCACTACCCACCGTCCCCGTGTGTGCGGGGAGCATACATTAATTCGTGAGAAAGACACTTTGCCGCTTCCAAGGAGCATGCTTGCGGGGAGGCCGCCACAATCACGGCAACAACAACACCGTCTTCGGCAGCAACACCCGAACAATCGCAACAACACCATTGACCAGTACAAACAGAAACAGAAACAGAAGCAGCAGCAGCAGCAGCAGCAACACACCACCGCCACCACCATCGCCGCCGCCGCCGCCGCCACCACCCCAACAATCACCCCCACTCCCACCACCTTGGCAGGATGCAGCGCACCCTCCGTGCGACTCGCCGAATACCTCACCGTGCTTCGCGCTTTTGGTGACGTGAGAGAGCCTGGTCCGGCGAAAACCCGGCAAATCGCTCCGTCCCGGCTTTGCAGGGATGCGAGGTCAACGGTCTAACGACTACGGCATGCACGACTATGAGTACCCCCCCCCCCCGACCGTCACCACGAACATCTCCTCACCGCCGCGTCTTCCATGTGGATGCTGTCCAGCGTAACCCCCGAGTCGTCTCCGTCCGTGTTGGTCGCCATGAAATACGTCTCGGTGTTGTCGTTCTGCCCCGACATGGCGGCCCCGTCGACGGGGACCGACTCATCCAGGGACGGCAGCTGCGCGTCCTCCTTCATCAGGCCGTCGCCCCTGTCCGGGAACCGGCTCACCTGTGTGGGTGTGGGTGTTTCATGTGTTTTGCATGTGTGTTGCATGTGTGTTGCACATGTGTAGGTTTAGTACTTGCTGTCATTGCGAAAATATTGTTATGTACTAATAGCACCGACCTACGTGCCGGTTGACCAATGAAAGGACGTCCCGGTGCCAGCGGGGAAAATCAAGGGTATTGTGTGTGTGTGTGTTGCGTTTAATTGGCGGCGTAGTAGGTATGTGTGGGTGCGCTGCGTTATCTAACCGTAGTCATTTTTCAGTTTTGGGACGTGACGTTGTACCCAAAGTGCGTGTTTTCATTTCAACCAAATTGCATACCAATCTATTTTTATGTTTGGTTGTGGGGAGGAAGTATGTCAACAGCGGCGAGAGAGTGACAACAAAACGAGCGCTGTTGGAACGGACAAGTCATCATTCGGGGCTTGGCATCTATAGCGCACCCCCACAAAAGCTCGCAATGAGTACACAAACCGCCTGGGTTTGACACTCAGATGATCTACACCGCCCCCCTCCCACCCTGTCCAAGCGTGGAGCGTGAGATAGCTGTACACTTGGGTAACGTCCACTGAAAGCTGCGCCACAGACAACCAATGCGAGATCCCTCGCGGGCTGACTGCATACTCATTCACCTTCACTTCATGGATACCCCTCTGTTCCCGCCAGCAACAAACATGTCGGCTTA